AATGAAATGAAATCAAAATCAAATACTACCCGGCCGAGCGCTGCCACTATTTTTATTTATTTATTTATTTATTTTTATTTCCAGTCTGATGTTTGGCTGTGTAGCCGCGTGGTGCGGTTCCAGTCAATACCCACCAATTGAAATTTGCTCACTACAGAGTCTCCTGTAGCTCAATGGTTAGAGCATCCGACTAGATCATGGAGGGTCGTGGGTTCAATTCCCATCTGGAAACTAGATTTTTAAAAATTGTTTATTTCATCTTTAAATAAACAAATTAAGTCATAAATGTTCCAAAAAATAATTCTATTTCCCCCATTGTCTCTCACTGTTATGCGATTTCATACGAATTAACGGAAATAAACATAGGAATCAATGAAAAAAAATAGGTCGTTTTAAAAGGGCCTGGCAGCAAGTCAAAAAGTAGGCTATCTCTTTTTCTTTTTTCACGTATGGAAGGTTGCCAAGAGGAAAACAAACTGTGGACTCGAGCAGAGACAAAATCTAAAAATCTTCTCCCCTTATATATGTACACTTCAGTGGATGCACACGACAGCACCGACGAACAAGCTCTTACATCAATACAGGAGCTTTTTAAGGCTGTGAGTTCTGAAAAGGAGGCAGATACACCAGTGCATCCATCAGGTACTAACTTTAGAACCGATGTAGAGCCCGTATCCTTGCCTGGGTATGATCACAAGACGTATCAGTCATCACATACTGGAACTGATTTACGCAATAAAATGCAAATCCAACTTTTCCTCTATCTTCCTTTCACGTGAGATAGACGCAAATGATTTCTTTGGTACTACATATGTCATAATAGATGAAAGCTGTTTTGTCTTCGGAACATCTAGCGAAGAAGCAAAATGCAAGAAGAGTGACGTTATTTGGGAAATTGGTGAAGATTCGGTATGATTATTCAACGGTCGTTTAGAGCTACTTGAAGAAAGATTTTACCAGATCCTTTCAGACTGCCGAGGGGAATGTGATTTACAAACAAATGAAACTGAAGAAAATCAAGAATGTTATCTTGACTCGGAGGAAGAAGAGGCTCCAACCAAAATTTGGAGTGGGAAGAGGTCAGTGCGGCCTCCCGGCGCGTGGAAGACTTTTTCTAACCGCAAAGGTTAAAAGACGATTTCAATCCATCGAACACTTATAATCGGTCGAACAAGACGGTTCAATCATGCTTCACTAGCAATTAAACTGAACGCTCAAAATGCAAACGGTTCAACAATTGATGTACTAACTACGAATATTTAGTCCTAATTACATCAAAAAGGGAAAGCAAGTACAAATACAGAAGAAGCAAACCCTAAACGTTACGTCTACCTCTTGATTTTTTCATTTGATTTTGAATTGGCAATGGCTATTACATCACAGTGTGTAACGTTAACGGATATGAACTCTAATCTTTTTTACTTATGTAACTCTTCCGTTTTTAGCACAAAGACACTAAGAAACTTTCAATGACTTTCTATTTAATTTGTTAGCGCGCTTTGTTTGATTTCTGTTCCGTGACTAGCGAATGTCCGTTCAAAGCTAGCTACATAAAGCACTGTT